TATATATACATATATAAGAATAAGAAGAAAAAAAGAGAAAGAAAAATATGTTTTTTCTTGTTAAAAAAGAAAAATAAATTTTGACAAAAACAAATTAGAACATGATTAAATAAGAAAAATTTAACTTTTTTAAAAAGATAATTAAAAAAATTTAAAGAGTAAAAGAGAAAAAATAGAAAAAGTTTTTTAAAAAAAATTGAAAACTAATAATTTTAAAGAGCATAATATACAAATTTCTATAAATATATGTAAAAAATAAAATAAAAATCATATATATATATATATATATATATATATAGGGCGGGCCAGGACACACTGGCTCCGCCCGGTTCAGTGTGTGTCAAGACTCAAGAATAGTAGTACTGTAGTAGTATGTATTAAACTTCTTTTGATTCGCCATTTATTTATTCTAGTTAAATTAATTTATTGATGTACTACTTGTTTTGGAATGTTGTTCGTTTATCATGCATCAAAGGTGGGCCCTGTGCTTTGTCCCTCTTGGCTCTTGCCATACGAAGCTTCCACACCCCTCACCATGAAAACGTTGTTCAAATAGTGTGTGTGTGTTTTTGTGTGTGTGAGAGAGAGAGAGAGAGAGAGAGTGAAAGACGGGTGTTGAAGCAACGTAGACAAGTTGTGGAAGCTGGTGTATATATATATATATATTATATAGAGAGAGAGAGGGGCTTTATGAACCCTAGGCATATAACGCGAGCCTATTTGTGTGTGCGTGTATCTGTGAGAGAGATTAAAGGATTTTTTCCTTTGGCAGGCAGACTCGAGCTTTCAATATAAGTGTCATCAGATCTGTTTTTCTTATCTTGTGTGGATATTGATATTGATAGGACCACGACATATAACCTACAATATATTTGTACTGAATCCCCTGCCACCAAATTAATTAATTAAATAGAATAAAATCAACTCTCAAGAGCTCGTTGATTTATATGATAAAAAGAATTTCTGCCGAAATAATAGATAGCAAAGAATTGTTTTTTTTTTGGATTTTAATTCTTATAATTTTTATGATATGTTCAGTTGCATATATGGCCTTCAAAATGAAATTTAAAAAAAAAAAAATTTAATTTAAAGTTTGAATTAAATTTTTATCATTTCCGATGTCAAGATACTAATTTCATACCACCTAACATAGCATTAGACTCACTAAGAGCCAATGAGTTACACTAGAAAATAAGGAGTGTTTAAATTTTGAAAGGGTCTTTTATGAATTTTTTGGATTTAGTACTGGAAGCACTTTTATAATTTTTAAATCTTCTCTACTGAAAATAAATAACAAGAGCCAATGTATTTTTTTTCCCGGTAAAATATTGCATCGAACCAATGTAAGTCTGCCATGAACACCAAAAACTGTAATTTGGTGGTATTTTTTCTACTTGTAAAACGGAGTGAAATTTTAAGTTGTCTTTATGGTACGTTGGATGGAAGGATTGAGGAGTGATGGATGAGAGGGGGAAAAAGATAAAAAAAATTTGTGTTTGTTGGAAAGGAAGGAAAAAGAGGAAGGAAGCAAAAAGAGATACTTTATCCATTATTCGTTTGTAATTTTCTATTCGTCCAAAACTGTGATCACCTTCTCTTTCTTAGAATGCCTCATCCATCTCTTCTCCTCTTCATTCCATCCATTTTTTTCATCCTCCGATCAAAAGAAATATTAAGATAAATGAGTGAAGTGAGTTTTTTTTTTTGGTAAAAATAATAATAAAAAAAACAAAATAGTATCTAATTTCCTTCTTAATTTTTGGTTTTTTCAATGGTGTATCACACATTTCGTGGTCGTACCTATATATATATAGTAAATGATCAACTTGTGCATATAAGCAACAAATATGTACGAAGATATATATATACATAGTGACCTAATCGTGCCTTTCAAGCTTTCGTCCTCGTGCAAAAATTGTAAAACGGAAGCTACTCGTGATATATAAGATGTCAAACAAAGACAATAAAACAGTAGAAAACTTCTAGCGTTAGCCTTGTTTTTTTTAGAAATAAATATTAGCCTTGTTGGCCTTCTAACGTTAGCCTTGTTTTTTTTAGGAGTATGGTATGGGTGTGACATTTCTCAAAATTCAGTACCATTCCACCTCAACTTTATATTCATTGATCTCTCCTTCTTAAAAAAAAATTTAAGACTTGGAATCTAGCTTATTAAAAATATGTTGCTGGTATGAGTTGTATATACTATAACTTTTAATAAATACTTTATCAATTTGTTGAAATTTTATTACATCATTTGTTTTTCGAATTATTAAATACTTATCACCATCACCGGTTCACTTCTATTTTCTGGCTTGGTGTGTTGTTGCAAAAAAAACAATATTATGGAGCCTTATTTTAAATATAAATAATACAAATAAATTTTAAAAAATTATATTGTTAAATTTAATAATCCATCATTTTATTATTTCTTTACTAAAAATGAGTATCATCAAACACATTTTCATTTTTTTTTTTTTTTTTTTTTAACATTTAAAATCACAAGGGTAGTTTTGATATGTGTAATTACTTTCTTTTCACTTTCATGCTATTCAAACTAATTAACTAATATTTTTCTATAATTTTCTTGAATAAATTTTTATACTAACCAAATGTATGTCAGAAAATTATTTTTCTTTTCATTCACTTCACTTTCTTTTAATTTCCTATTTCTTTTTATTTTCTTACTTATTTCCATCCAACCAAACGGTGCCTTATTATTTCCACTTTTTTGCACTATACTTATTCAAGCACAGTGTTATTTCTAATTTTAGAAAAGATCATTCCAACTCTCCAAAGGTACCTATGAAAAGAAAACCAAACATATAAACAATTCACCTATGCTGCATTTGGTGTGCAAGAATAGGGAATGAAATGGAATGCACATTCTAACTATTTATTTGTTTGGTATACAATTTAAAGTGGTAGTGGTCATTCCATTGAAAAAAAAATTCATTCATGAGAATGAAAATTCATTCCATAACTAAACCTATAGAATGGTTATTCCATTCCTAAGTTTTTTTTTACAAAAAAATCAAGTTCCTAAAAAACCGTCTTGTTCTAAATCCAAAAACCACTACGATACCACCACTGTTACTTTCCACCACCACCATCACCTTCCATCACAAACATCGTCGCCTTTCATCACCACCACCTCTATTTCCTTCCACTACAGTCACTGCCATCGCCACCATTGTTGCTGCCTTCAACCACCAGACCGCTTCCGCTTCCGTTGCCTTCCACCACTACCACATCCACCATTGCCACCACCACCACCGATTTCCACCACTACCACTACCTTCCACTACTACCATATTTGATTGTCGCCACCTCTATTGCCGTCTATGCACCACCGTCACCAATAATGCCACTGTAGCCACCACCACCACTTATACCACTACCGCCTTCCACCACTGCCACTATCATCACTGCCATCACCTCTACTATCGCCGCCTTCGACCACTACCACACTGTGGTGTCCGCTGCTTCCTACTGCCGTCGCTGCCACTACCGACTTACACCATCGCCATCTCAACACCACCTTCTTCCACTACCACAACACTAACGCCTTTCACCACTACCACCACTGCTTCTACTGCCGCCACCGCTATTACCACTGTCTTCCACCAACACCACTGCCGCCCATCGCTGCCTTCCACCACCGTTATCACTTGCCGTCTTCCACCATCACCACCTACACCATTATCACTTTCTACCTCCACCACCATCGTCACCACCATCATTTTTTTTAAAAAAAAAAAAAAAAAAATTTGATAGAAGAATGTTATTTTGTTAATTTTATTTATTTGTCATTAATAATGGTATTTTGGAGAATTCAAATTGAAATTCATTACATTCTAAATTTTAAATTTGCCTAACTAAACAATCATTCTATTCTTACACATTTCATATTTGCAACCAAATAATAGAATAAAAATGACCATTTCATTCCATTATCGCTTGCATTTCATTCCATTCATCCATACCAAATACAACACTAGTATAGTAGTTGGACAAATTGTATGAATATGTTATTCCCGAAAGAAAACAAAAAAATATTTAAAAAAAGTCATACTTTTAAAAATAAATGACTATTATATATGTCTTAACAATAAACTTTTAGTAAATTTGTTTATTGGTAGGATTTGATAGTTTCATGTGGTTTGATAAAATTGAAAATTTTAAGATTTTTTTTTTTTCTCTTTCTTTTCGTTGTTACTCACACATTTCCCATCAAGGAATTGTTTACACGTAACTGGAATAGATTCTAAGATCCCAACGAGTTGAATTTTAAGTACTAAAATTTTTAAATAGTAATTAAAAAATAAATATTTTTTATTTTTTCATTGTTTAACATTAAGTAATAATTGATGTATCTGTCACTTAAAAGTTAATTTACCCCATTTTGAAGACACCTAGACTTGTTTGTAATTTTTCCTAAAAAATCAATCTGCCAAAAAAAAAAAGTTGCTCCAAGTTTTAATCACACCTTTTAATTATACAATACAATCCAAACCGATAAATAACCCAATTCAAATCCCATTCCCAAAATAAATGAGAATTTGCCAGTTTCATGTTCTACTTCTTCAACCTCTCAGAACAAGCATATAGGACTTGATATTAATTGATATATAAGTTATATTATTGTATACATGTAATGTAAATTTGTAATATATATATAGAGAGATAGATATATATACATATGTGTATGTATATTGTTCTGACATCCTGAAATGGAGTTATTTTGAAGAATAGAAATTTAACACATATTGACATATATGTACACATGTACTTTCTTAATTGCAATATTTTTCACGGATCTCATGAGTATTTTTTGGGACTGAAAGTGAAACTGATATAAGTAAAGAAATTAGTACCATAAATGGAGGGTGATAATACTTTGTGTGGACCCCAACCACATCTAGGCCCACCGTCGCTACGTTCCGTAAAAGGTTGTTCATCATCTCATCTATCTCTGCACACACACCCTCCTTCATGTGCTACATGACAGGCCCCTTAAATCATCAGACCACTTACAACAACACACCCACTTCTCTCTCCTACCCTCACTACCTTCCATTTTCATCCTATACATCATCATTCATATATATCTATATATATATATATATAACACATTACACATTTCTCTCTCTCTAAGCTTTGCTCCTGGCCTCTTCTTCTCTCCCATGGTTCCTACCTTCCAAACATGCCCTCTAGTGCAAACTCCCATCTCTTCCTCTCAAGGTCACCTATAATACTATTTATGAATCTATACTGTACACACACACATAAATTATCTTCCTTTTTTTTTTTTTTTTTGTTCGGAAGATCATATATAAATTATCTTGACACTCCGTTTGATAGTATATTACTTAGTTTAAATTTTAAATTAATTTTTGTCTTGTTTTCTAATTATAAAATGTGGATTCTATGTTAATATTTTAGATTTAATTTTCTACTTCAAACCCATTATTCTCATTTAATGTTTTGTATTTTGATTCCTGCAGGTGGTTTGAAATATTCCGGAGAAAAAGTGCACATTCCAGCAGCAATGACGATGACGACGACAATCCAATCTCGAATTCAATCGAATGCTACGCATGTACGCAGGTCGGCGTCCCAGTTTTTCACTCCACTAGCTGCGACCGGGCCCACCAACCCGAGTGGGAGGCGTCCGCCGGTTCGTCGCTGATCCCAATTCAGAACCGGCACGGCCAGAAAACCGGGAAGGACCGGTCGCATGGGTTCCGGCGACCAGCGGGGCCGTTCGGGCGAGTTCTGGACCCGCGGAGCAAGCGCGTGCAGAAGTGGAACCGGGGGTTTCTGATGGCACGTGGCGTGTCCCTGGCCGTCGATCCTCTGTTCTTCTACGCGCTGTCCATCGGCCGCGGTGGCGCGCCGTGCCTCTACATGGACGGTGGGCTGGCGGCGATCGTCACCGTCCTCCGCACGTGCGTGGACGCCGTGCACATGTGCCACCTCTGGCTCCAGTTTCGGCTTGCGTACGTGTCGCGCGAGTCGTTGGTGGTCGGCTGTGGGAAGCTCGTGTGGGATGCACGTGCCATCGCTTCCCACTACGTGCGCTCTCTCAAGGGCTTCTGGTTCGACGCCTTCGTCATACTCCCGGTTCCTCAGGTTAGTAAAACCAAAGGGGTAGATCTGTCATTTAATACTTACCTGTTGAAATGTCAGAAACACCCTCATCTTTTTTAAAACGATACATGCTTTCTCTGCATGTTAATGTAAGGACATGAGGACATCATATGATCAGAAACAATAACCGTCTTTGTGTGTGAGTATTTAATTGTGACTGAGGATTCTTAAGCGTGCTAGCTATCTTACGCGAGGGTGAGTACTTATTGTTGAGTATATGGACAGCTGTGTATGTACATATATATACATCATAATCTGTACAAATATACATGTATGTATGTAAGTATGTATGTAAGTATGTATACATGTACATCCTCATCGTACTGTCACTGTTGAGTCCAGTATGACCTTCTCAAGGACCAGAAAATGTTACAAAACATGCCACTGTTGTACTAAGACTTTATTGTAACAGTCTGCACCCTATTAATTGAAGACTTGAAGTAAATATTTGATGAACAATAAAAGAAAATTATTTTCTTTAAAACAAATATATATATATATATATACTCAAATTTGTGGCTAAATAAAAGGAAAATGTGATATTTACTAATTTTAGTTTTGGGTGCTTATTAAAGTTAGGATTTCCAATGTATTTTATAGGTAAGAAATTATGGTAAGTTTGGATGGTAGTGTTAGTCCTGGCTAAATCATCATGCATGTGCTAACCATGATTTGGATGGTGGGTGAGGATTGAAATTAATTAGTAATACTCCATCAATGAGCATAATTAATGTGGTTAAGTGTGGGTCTGTTTGATAGTGATGTATGATGGATGGAAAATGTGAATAAGCTTAAGTTTTTGTTTTTATGCGACAGTATGGAAGAACAGCTGAAATTCTTGGATTTCTTTGTGTTTTAGCTCTCAAGGAAAGTGGTAAATTGTTCCTTAGGGTTTGGACTGTTGGAGGCAGTAACAATAAAAATGGAAGTCTACCTTTATTTTAACAGTCTATTGACAGAACACACATCCTTTAAACTTACGTTCATGTGCTTTTGACATATACCACTCTCCAGAACTTTCAGTTTTTTTTGGTAAAAATATCTCTTGGTTGTCCATTTTATTCTCTTGCAAAATATCTTTTCCTTGATTATTGAATTTTCGAGCCCATGATACTGAATCAGCTTCTTTAGTTTTTTTACCAACAAAATAATTGTTTTCCCCCCTACTTGCTGAATCAAAAACCAAAACACAAGCTTATGATAGAAAAACGATGCTCATGAACTCGAAAACGTACAAATAATTGTTTTCCCCACTGGCGACGTTGAAGGATATTATATAGAAAACCGTGGTCAGCAATGAACATGAACTCTAATTGCCATTATATGATATCCCTCATTGGATATGTTTTACAAGACATCAATTATAATGGTCTGCCAATATCTAAAAGCAGAATTCTTATGAAGTATTGTGATTCTGGCTTTTAGCCCTTCATTCCCGCCATTTTGTTATATGATTTCAATGATATTCTCATACTGTTTCCTCCTCCTCCTTTTTTCTTACTTCTCTTTTCTGTAATTGCAGGCTGTGTTTTGGTTAGTTGTTCCGAAATTGATCAGGGAAGAGCAGATAAAGCTGATAATGACAATACTACTACTGATCTTCTTGTTCCAGTTCCTCCCTAAGGTCTACCACAGCATACACCTAATGACAAGAATGCAAAAGGTCACTGGTTATATATTTGGCACCATATGGTGGGGTTTTGGCCTTAATCTCATTGCCTACTTCATTGCCTCTCATGTAAGTCTATGTTATGCTTCGTTAATATGTACTATATATATACATATATATATATATCTGTGTTGAGAAATTGTTCATGGCACTCCACTTATTCCATGTGCAGGTTGCCGGAGGATGTTGGTATGTCCTTTCGATACAACGGGTAGCATTATGCCTCCAGCAGCAGTGTGACAGAAAAAGTAAGTGCAATCTCTCTCTGTCTTGCTCAGAGGAGGTCTGTTACCAGTTTCTGTCACCGACATACACATTAGGGAATCCTTGTGGTGGCAACTCAACAATGACCAGAAAGCCAATGTGCTTAGATGAAAATGGAGCATTTCCTTATGGGATCTACAAAGGGGCTCTTCCGGTTATTTCAAGCAATTCTCTTGCTGTTAAGATTCTTTATCCAATATTTTGGGGATTAATGAGCCTCAGGTAAACAGTAAATTAATTATGTCCGTGAATGAAACTTATCAAGAATTTGTTTTAAAAACCTTCGTTTATAGCCTTTTCTATTTGCCAATTTCTAGAAATGCAATTTATTACTTGTGATTGCAATTGTAGCCTCTTCTTGGGCTACATGTAAGAACTTGCTGCTACCGGACTGCGTTAGTGTATTTCAAATTTTTATATTTGCTCTAGCTTGACTAACAAATAGATAATGGAGTAGGTTTATCTGAGTTCATTAATGACCTGTGACTTTGCAGTTAATCTGAAACTACAAGGAGTTCCAGAGGGAGATTTAAAATCTTCCAAATTTTATTCTCTGGATAGACTTGGTCAATGGAAGTTGGATTCTTTTTGGAACTCATTAGATATTAGTGGAAAATTGGTAGAGTTTTGGAAAACTTCCATTCTGTGTCAAAAAAACGTGTGAATTCCAATATGTTGATTTGTTTTTAACAAAAAAATAATATATGTGTGTGTGTGTGTGTGTGTGTGTGTGTGGGCTTCTTTGGGCCTGGTTTTGACCATCTTATTACCTTCATGGACAACATTCATACACCTTTTGATCTTTGGTTACAGCACTTTTGGCAATGCTCTTGAACCAACAAGTCAGTGGTTAGAAGTAGTTTTCAGTATATTTATTGTCCTCGGTGGCTTAATGCTTTTCACTCTTTTGATTGGGAATATTCAGGTAACTCACAATTCACGAGCTTACTCTAAATGTTCTGATTGTTAATGTGAAAGTTCTATTTTAGATTATGGTCTGACAATGAGGACCAAATTAAAAATGTTGCCTTGAAGGTATTCTTGCACGCGGTCATGGCAAAGAAGAGAAAGATGCAGCTGAGGTGTCGCGACATGGAATGGTGGATGAGACGGAGACAGCTGCCTTCTCATCTGAGGCACAGAGTTCGCCATTTCGAACGCCAAAGATGGGCAACTATGGGTGGAGAAGATGAATTGGAATTGATTAAAGACTTGCCTGAAGGGCTCCGACGGGATATTAAGCGCTATCTTTGCCTTGATCTCATAAAAAAGGTATTACGAACAGCCATCTACTAATGTGTTTGGGAATGAAACAGAAAAAAAACTTATCTATAGAAGTAGTACACTAAATGTGTCTTGAGATTGAAGGGGATACATCAATTCTTAAGCAGTCCAAGTGTATTAAGGACCCTACTAGAGTTTGAATATTTAGCTTAGCAATCGGCACAGAGTTTGAATATTTAGCTTATCCTCGGGCCTCAGTTTATTTTTTTATTTTTTGATATAACCGACTTCATAGAGGCATTTTATATGTTATAATGGTGATGAGCACTTTGGTTTTAGTAACTCATATAGTGTAATATTTTCACTTTTGTTTCAAGTAATTTTCTTAGCAACTGATCGAAGGAGAAAAAGAAAAAAAAATCCAAAATGGCTAACTATTTTTTGTGATCAAAGACCATCTGAAATATTCACACACACACAGCTTCTCCTTAGCATACCATCATTACTACACAAACTGTAGGTTTAACGTTTTTTTTTTTTCGGTAATTCATCTTCTTTAGGTACCTTTGTTTCAAAGCTTGGATGATCTTATCCTCGACAACATTTGTGACCGAGTTAGGCCCCTTGTATTCTCCAGAAACGAAAAGGTATGTTACATGAGTTACACGAAAATCACAAAACTTAATCTACCAGGAAGTAACTTTCTTAACCTTTTTCATGTTTCAAACTTTGTATGGAACAGATTATTAGAGAAGGAGACCCGGTGCAGCGGATTGTGTTCATTGTTCATGGACAAGTAATGAGTAGCCAAAACCTCAGCAAAGGCATGGTAGCCACAAACACACTAGAACCGGGAGGCTTTTTGGGTGATGAGCTCCTGTCATGGTGCCTTCGCCGCCCATTCACAGACAGACTTCCAGCCTCATCCGCAACATTTACTTGTATTGAATCAACAGAAGCATTTGGTCTGGATGCAAACGATCTGCGATACATCACTGATCACTTCCGCTACAAATTTGCTAACCACAGGCTGAAGCGAACGTCAAGATACTATTCATCCAATTGGAGAACATGGGCAGCTGTGAACATACAGTTATCTTGGCGCCGTTACATGATGAGGACCAAGGGTCCAATGACTCATGAGGTGGAAAATGGAGATGATGAACGTAGGCTTCGGCAGTATGCTGCAATGTTCATGTCAATCAGACCGCATGATCACCTTGAATAAATGCAGCTGCTGCATTTTTTTTTTCAATAAAGCGGATGAGGGATTGAAAGAAATTTTTATTGAAATAGATGTCCCGTAGGTATGATGTGACGACCCATGTCGGGTAGAAGTTGTTAATAGTTATGTGCGGACATTCCTAGAATAGATTGAGTTGGAGACAATTTGGTTGCGAGTTGCCTAGCTATACCATACGGTTTGGTGTACATTGGAGTCATAAATATTGACAGATCATTGCGTTGAACTGACAAAGATGTCTTGTAGCCTCAAGTAGGAGAAACCAACAGTGCATAATTCTTTAATACCTGTAATTCATTTAAATGGAATTAGTAATCTCTCCCGACTCTTGTGTATGCAAAACTGTTTAGCGGGAAATCCTCCATTATCGTTTTCATTTAAATTCCCCCACCTTACTCAATTATTTTCCTTAATGTATTAACCAAAATAAACCCGTCACTCAAAGAATACCATGAAGCGATATCCTGTCATGCTGCTACCAGCGTTTGTCTACTATGTGTTAATCAACAATGGAGGATTCAGGTAGTCCGTTTACTTAATTATGTTTGAATTAAATGTACGTGTCATAAACAAATTTCTATTTAAGTTGCAGAATAACAATCTAAACTTGTGTCTTATAATTTACATTGGGTCGTGTTTGGATTGACTTATTTAATAGAATTCCTTAGGTCGGCATTACACTCATTAATCGTCTTATTTTTAACTTTCGAATTCATATTTAAAAAAACAAAAAGAAAAAGAAAAAAGAATTGTGATAGCATAGGTGGAAGACCCATTTGAGCCCACGTAGCAAGTGGGCTCAAATGGTTTGAATTTAGGCCCATCCTTTGTATCTTAATCTTGGGCCTTACCCACCTACGAAATCCAATTTGTGTCATGCAAAACCTGTTCATTGACACAGTGTGTGCGTACATGCATATATTTTTATTCATGTTCACTTGGAGGGTTATCTATGCAAAATTATAAATATATATATTTTCTTCTATGTGACGTCACTTTATTTTTGGGTCAATGTTCATCCTTCCTCATCAACCGTAGATCTCATCATCTCAAACACAACCTCAGGAGGAACGATTAGCAATTCGGGTGAAGAATCAATCGTCGATCTCTGTAACTGATGGTTTTGCTGACTTTTTCATTCAAAACTTCATACACAAATTTCTCTTGTGTTTGGATAACTTAAGTGGAGAGAAAGAGAGGATAGGGAGAGATAAGGAGGGATAGCTATCCCTTTCTATCCCTTATTTGCTTTCTCTCATAATTTGAAAAGATAGGGAGAGAAAGGATAATAGAGTAAGTAATTAATTCGTAATACTAAAAATACCCTCCACAAATCATTATATAAAAAAGTTATTCCTTTTATGTCCCAGTGCAATATAATAAAGAGTTAAGTGCAAAAAAATCCCTCTACTATCGATATAGTGCATATCAGTCCCCGTGTGATAAAAAAAACCCCCTATACTATCAATTTGGTGAGATTGGATTCCTGGTGATGTAAAATGACAATAATACCCTCACTTCAGTTAAATAAATTAATGATTATAAATAAGGCCATGTAAAATGACCATTTTGTCCAAATTTGTGTAAAATGGAGTTTGTTTGGTATAAGGATAATATAAATCTCAAATTGTATAAAATTGGGATAGCATAAACCTGAATATAATTAAATCTAAAACCAAACATGCCCTTTCAAACCCAAAAAAACTCAATCTCTTCAAATCCAAATTCATCACCTCACCAATATCAACCTCCGCCGGAAAATCAAACCAAGATTCTATTGAAATTGAACAAAACCCTAGCCTTGTTCATCAGATCCAACGACTGTAATAACAATTCTATCGAATCCAACTCGACTACACCATTTGCAAAAGGTATACACACCATGGTCTGTAACCCAAACACCCGTTCCTATCGAGCTCGCTCGCAGGGTGAGGCGGTGAGTCGGTCACCTTCTGCAACCCATATTGGAGCCGAATTGAAGAAAGCCTAACCTGGAAGAGCACTTCCATTAGCAAACGACTGAGTCATTGACACTAGAAAGAACCACTCCGTATCGGAAACTTTTTCGTCAACAGCTTCGTCTGGAGAAGCACAGGAACAGGAGATGAGTGAATTGAGCTCTCGGAGCACCTTTTTTCGGTGCTCTTACTCCTTCGCCGACAAAGATGACGCCGTTTTGTGCTTAGGCTCGCCGGCAATTGTATCACGCGCAAGTTTTTTAAGGAACTGGCCGAGATCGAAGTTATCGAGAGATAACTTATTAAGAGCTACTAACCCTAATGCTTAAAACCCAATGTTAGATCTTTTAGGGTTTGTTTGTTATTTCAATTCTCATTTGTTTACCTGAAATTGAAAAGATAAGGCATGGAATCAATCTCTCTCTATATATGTTCTTGTGCTTTTGTAGAGATACTTTTTGTATTTGACAAAGACACAAAGTTTGTGCTGTGTTTTTGAGGAGGCCCGAGATGACATGGGCCAGATATGACTTGCAAACGCGACATCCGGTCCGTACAGATGGGTCAGGCCCATAGAGAGACACTGCCATATGGGCCGAACGCGAATAAGCCCATAAAAGATGACCAGAACTCATGGAGGAACGGGCCTAGATCCAGCAGTCCATCAACATTTGTAAATATCTATAAATAGGAGAAGTAATGGAAAGAATAGGGGAGATATTTTTTGGATTGAAATGCAAGAATTCTAGAGAGAGAAAGGGGGAGGGATTTCTTGTATCTTCAATTGACGCCGTCTGTGGGAATCGTGGAAGTTTGGTTGATCAATGATTAATATCGCGTGGATTCAGACCAATCCGGGTGATCGAGACTCAATCTTTGGGAGTTGGATCCAGATCTGAGCGATTGTGACCTACTCTAGAGGAATTTTAGTTCCTGTTGCTTTGGCAGAAGTGGCTTCAGATCTACGTAACAACGAGTTGTTCGATTGTGGCAGGATCTGACGGATTTAGAATTCGGACAATTCAGATCTCGTCAACCGTGAGCATAATTCGGAGAATTCGAAACCAGATCTGAAAAATTCCCACTCACGAAGCTCGGATCTACTCACGAACTTGAGATTAATGCCTTTACTCCGTTCAAGAATAATGATAGGTGAAAGCTCCAATCCGATGGAGGTTGTCCAACAAACGAAGCTTGAGGAGTTGATGAACTTGATCGAGGCTCTAAAAAAAGAGAATGCAGAATTGAAAGCTGGAATGCAACATCAGCAAATGCCCGCGGTTTCGCGTCCACCTCCGGCCGGTGAAGGAGGTGTTCGATCTAATATCGCGCATTAAGGCGAGCAGGACGAGAACAGTCAGTCAGCTCTCCACCGTGATGAAAGGAGGATGGATGATTTGCCGCCAAATGCTCGTCGAATTGAGGATCACGAAGGATCGACTCACGTTGATCCGCGACATGAGCAGATCAGACAGAACGAAGCCATGACCTTCGATCCGCATCGGGAAAGGTTCAACCGAGAGGAGGTGATAGAGGTTGATCGCCGCCAAGTTGCGTCGCCTTGGCAAAGAGAGCTCATAGAGGAACGGTCGTTCGATCCGTCCTACCGGCCCTCCATGGCTACAATCACTCATCGCGGTTCGGAGAGCAGAATCGTAGCTCACAGAGCTACCACTGGGCGCCAAAGAGAGAATGAAGCACTCCGATCCGCGGCTCGAACGGTTGATTCACCATTCACTGACGAGATCCTGAATGCCCCGCATCTAAGGAAGTTTGCTATGCCAGTATTTATTCTGTTTGACGGAACAACCGATCCGATCGATCATGTGTACCATATCCAGTTGAAGATGGCCCTGAATACGGAAAACGACGCTTTAATGTGCAAATGCTTCCCTACAAGCCTAGCTGGACCGGCGCTCAGCTGGTTCAAGAACTTGCCTAGGAGCTTCATTGGTAGCTTCCGAGACCTGTGCGATCGGTTCATAAGCCAGTACTATGGGAACAAGCGTCCGCTAAAGGACATCTCAAGCCTATTCACAATGAGACAGCACAAAGATGAACGTCTCCAGGCTTTTCTCACCAGGTTTAATCTCACTAAAAGTATGGTGATCGAATGCCACCCTTCTACAGCGGTTCAAGCCTTCAAGTTAGCCATGACACGTGGCACTCCGTTCCATACCAGTCTGGTAGTGAACACGCCGACGACTATGGATGAACTCAATGAAAGAGCCGACGGCTTTGTGCGCCTAGAAGAAGAGGAGGCAGCCAATGCTCGGACAGCGTCGCTCGTGTTGACCGAGAAAAAGTCCAAGGCAAAGATTAGGCAGAAGCAGGCTCAGCCGCAGCGTCAGACCTCTTGGAAGGCAGAAAAGAGGTCCAGGGAGGAAGAGCTGATCACTCCGCTGAAAGTCACTCTGGCGAGGCTATATCAGGAGAACAAAGATAAGTTTCATCCACCACTGCCAATTAGGCAACCCCTCGAACAGAGGGATCAGACTAAACATTGTGTTTTCCATTCCGATTTCAGTCATCAGACTAATGAATGCAGGAATTTGAGAAGGCAAGTGGAGATGTTGATAGCTAGAGGGGAGTTCGCGAGTTATGTTCAAGGCTCGGCGACAGAGCAGAATCGACCGATGGAACAAGTAAAAAGGAGCCATAAACAAAGCTCCCACAATTTACAACCAGTTCGTATAATCAATGCTATCCACGGTCGACCCGAGCCCAGCGAAGATTCAGATGAGCTGCTCCGAGCGCGCCTACGGTAGGCGCAGATGAAGAAAAGGGTCAGCAGTGTGAATACTCTACACCAGCAGATCACATCGATACAAATAAAGTTCGACAGGACGGACCTGCAGCGTGTTCAAATCCCCCATGAAGACCCGTTGGTAGTCAGTTTGACAGTGGCGGACTGCCTGGTGCGCAGAGTTCTGATCGATCCCCGGAGCAGTGCGAATGTCATGCCGAGGGACACATTTGATCGGCTCGAGATTAAACCAGAGAGGCTCAAGCCCACTGGGAATCCCCTGTTAGGATTCGATGGCAAGAGGGTGGAGCCCGTCGGAATGGTGGAAGTAGAAGTTCAAGCTGCAGAACGAGTTCTTATGGAAACTTTTGTGGTTGTAGAGATTCACCCCTCGTACAATCTCCTGATGGGAAGAGGATGGATTCACAGAGTCCAAGGAGTACCCTCAAC